CAGCAGGGCGTGTTCCTGTGGCAAGCTTCCCATTGGTTCACCAAGCCTCCCTCGTTTGGAATCAGATGAGTAATTGGGTCTTTTCTGGCTTCCCACCCATTAGCATCCCTTTCTACTGAGAAACCTGTCCGACTACATAGCAAATGTTAATTGCCAAAAGTAGCTCACCTTCCGCCCCCTCCCTGCCCCCCACCCCGTCTTTCCCCTCGTCAATTTCCGTGATCTTAATAGCTTGACTTTGAATCCTCCCTTTATCTTTTCAGTTAGTCACAGCTTTGAGCTCCTTGGAGAAGGTACTTTAGAGAAGAGATGGTGGGGGCAGGGCGGAGGCGTGAAGGGGCGTGGCCTCGGGGCTGGCCTGAGAGCTTTGTTGGGTGAATGGTTTCCAGGGAAGGGCGGCCGCCTGGGTGCTGCGCTGACCCCCTTCCCGTGAGGGAAGAGAGGACAGAGCCCCGGGCTGGCTTCCTCGTGCTGGAAATGACTGGGGTCTGGCTCCTGGGAAAAGCACCCTGATGAAGGTCACTCCGAAGCCGGGGCAGGTGAGCACCTCAAACCTGGCTCCCTCTAGCCCTGTGTGTCCAAGGTCTCAAAAAGTTTTGGCCACAGAATCTTCCCTTGCAATTATTCGAGCAAGCAGAGGCCAAGAAGCTGGGCTGGGCGATGTGGGGGTACAGGGAATGGGCTCCCCTGCTAAGTCTCCCCTATCACCACCCTCTGCCCCTGCAGTACCCCCATTAAACATCCCTAGACCTATGGCACTTCCTTTTGGGCAGAAAGACATTGTAATCTTAGCCTTCTCCACCCCCATGCCCCCTTCCCCCATCGCAAGAGGGGGACAGATGCTGCCAAGCAAATGAGCTGAAATTCAAGTCGGAGATATTCCTAGGGGCTGTTTACTTGGTGTCCCATGCCTAACAGGTTCTGCTGTGCCCTCTGGCTGAATCCCGCCTCTGGCGGGCCAGCAGACAGTGCCAGCAAGGGAGGCTGGCGCGGGGCGCGGGGCAGCAGACACATGGTGTCCCCTATCTGTGCAGCTGCACCTCTGCCTCGCTGCGGCCAGCTCCTGGCTCTGCCGTTCGGGGTTTCCTCATGCCTCCCAGAGATCCTTTCTCGCACTGAGTCTGCATCGGAGACGCAGCTCAAATGACTCAGTCGGGATTTGGGGAGGAGAAGAGATAGGGAAATGTTGATAGCCCAGATGGTTCTGCTTTGTCTGATCCCCTTTCTCTCTCTCTCTCTCTCTCTCTCTCTCTCTCTCTCTCTAACTCTTTCAAATAAATAAATCTTAAAAAAAAAATAAACACATGTTTCTAACTCTTTTCTAGCTTTTCCTTTGTGTTTCAGGGCCACCAACAGTTACTGCCATGCTGAGCAAAGGGGCCCTGGAGGCTCCGTGGGTGCACTTGCTCTGGGTGGTGTCCCATGTGTTGGATGGAATCTGCATGTAACCCTGCCCAGGACCACCTGGAACAGAGCGGACTCCCAGGTCACAGGAGGCCACAGGAAGCCAGCCACTGGGAAGCGGCACTAACCACCCTGTCCTCAGGGGACCCTCCTTACGGAGGGTGACTGCATCCTGAGATCCTCTCACACTGGGAGGATGATGAGGCTCTCACAGGGAACCAGGCAGACAGGAAGACTAAGCAGGGAGTTCTCTGGGGACTCCCAAAGCTGGCTCCAGGAGCACCGGGACCCAGCACAGCTGTGCCACCATTGTCCTTGCTGTGTCACAAGACCTTACAGTCAGTCAAGCCCATCACCTGGGGAGAGCCAGGCCTGTCTTGTCCTTGAAACCCAAGAGTAGGGGCCGGCACTGGGGTGTAGCGAGTAAAGGTGCCGCTTGTAGTGCCAGCATCCCATATAGACACCGGTTCGAGTCCCAACTACTCCACTTCCAATCTAGCTCTCTGCTGTGGCCTGGGAAAGCAGTAGAAGATGGCCTAAGCCTTTGAGCCCCTGCACTCACTTGGGAGACCTGGAAGGAGCTCCTGGCTTCAGATCAGCGCAGCTCCAGCCATTGCAGCCATCTGGGGAGTGCACCAGCAGATGGAAGACCTCTCTCTCTGCCTCTGCCTCTCTGTAACTCTGCCTTTCCAATAAATAAGTAAATCCTTCAAGAAGAGACTGCCCAGCAGTTTCTTTGCCTTTCATTTTCCTACTTGAGAGCACAGAAATCCCCTTCCTAGAGTTGGGAATAAAATGGGCATTTTAAAAAGGAATTCTATTTCCAGAATGCAGCTTCTCAGCCCAGCCTTTTATTGGGAGCAGTTGTCACTGACCCCTGGAGGGTCAGGGGGTAGGGAAGGCATGCACCCAGCCCGCAGGATCCGAGCGCTGAGAAATCTGAACAAGGGAGCCCCAGGGCAGGCCGCTCGGGAAAGAGAAGGGCCAGAGGGTGGTTCCGCCGTGCCTCTCCCGCAGCAGTTCCAGTTCGGCTGTCCAGAGAGGACCTTCCCCAAGGGTCCCCTGCAGCAGAAGGACTGGAGAGGAAGGGGGTGGCTACTGATCCGACTGCCTCTTCTGCGTCTGGCCTGCTGCTGGCTGGACTTGCAAGCTTGGCTACAGAATGACGCCAATGTCACATTCATGTCCAGCCCGAATGCCATCCCGGGCTCCTGACACCCAGATGTGAGCTGCGAATGGCATGCAGCGACGACCAGTTCCTGGTATTTGCTCACATGGCACAGAATCCTTCATCCTGGAATCAGAGCCCAAACTAGACCTTGGACTCTGCCACCCTGGCTTCTACCCTGTCTTTATGAGTAAGTCCTGAGGCTGGGAACAGCACAGCTCCCATCTCAAGCCTCGCCAAGGACACTGATGGGCAACCTCAGACAGCCTGAGGTAGGTCAGGGTGGTGGGGTACTTGAGCCAACTGCTCCAGACCACGAGATCTCTGTCATGTGACACCTCACATTCCTCAAGGAAAGGGCTGCTCTCTTTATAGGAGGCAGATTTTACCTTTTTAGCCTCAAAAGTTGTCTTTTTTTAAAGATTTATTTTTATTTATTTGAAAGACAGAGTTACAGAGAGAGGTAGAGACAGAGAGAAAGGTCTTCCATTCGATGGCTCACTCCTCAGATGGCCACAATGGCCGGAGCTGCGCCGATCCGAAGTCAGGAGCCAGGAGCCTCCTCCGGGTCTCCCACATGGGGGCAGGGGCCCAAGGACCTGGGCCATCTTCTACTGCTTTCCCAGGCCATAGCAGAGAGCAGGATGGGAAGAGGAGCAACTGGGACTCGAACCGGAGCCCATATGGGATGCTGGCGCTTCAGGCTAGGGCTTTAACCCACTCTGCCACAGCACCAGCCCCCCCAAAATTATCTTTTTTTATTTTGAGGTGTTGTCTAAGGTGGCATCTACGTGAGGTTACAGAGTGTTAGTGTGAATCCTGTTACATAGCTGAGCTCAGGCCCATGGAACCACATGAGCCTAATTCACGCTTTCCTTCAACAACTATTTGAACAGAATAGAGCTAAAGTAGCCTGCTCAGCAATGCGCAAGGTTGTCACTAAAACACAGCTCGTAATCACAAGACTTGATATTTGGGTCACAGTGGTCACAGCCCAATTATGGAACCTTACTCCACTAAAACCACCTGGGGCCAGTGCTGTGGGTCACCGGGATAAGCCACCACCTGAGACCCCAGCATCGCATGTGAGCACCAGTATGCATCTTGGCTGCTCCACTTCAAATCCAACTCCTGTTAGCGTGCCTTGGAAAGCAACAGAGGGTGGCCCAAGTGCTTGCGTCCCTGCACCCACAGGAGAGACCCAGGTGGAGCTCCAGGCTCCTGGCTTCACCTTGACCCAGCCCCAGCCATTGTGACCATTTAGGAATGAATCAGTGGATGAAAGATTCGCTCACTTGCTTGCTCGCTCGCTCTCTGTAACTCTGCCTTTCAAATACATAAATCTTTAAAAAAAAAAAAACAGCAAATTGCACATTCTTTCTAAGTGTAAAGGAAGGAAATGAAATCTGTTTTTTTTTTTCAAGTGATGAATATTTCAACAGCAAATGATCGCCAAGCCTCTGTCTTCTCACCACCCTCTCTACCAAACTGTTCTCCAACCCTAGGGGAGGAGGTGTGGGGGAGGGGCTGCACTTGAGTGACAGATGTGAGGTTATTGACTAGAAAGTGAGAACTCAACCCCAGGGGAGAGAGAAGCATCCTTACTTACACTGCAAAGTGGCCGAAAGTAGGCCAGGGCAGCGCGGGAGGGGGCGAGGGAGGGGGCTGCGAATCCTCTGCAGGAGCGAGACCCGGTGCTGCAACCTCAGTGTGAGGAGGAGATGGCAGAGCCTGACTCCACAGAAGGGCACCGAGGCTAGTGGAGCCTGTGAGAGGAATGTCAGAGCACAACCAAAGGGTACGCGTGGTCTCCCTGCAGAAAATCATTTGATTCAGCCGGAAAAGCAGCGAGTGTCCACAGAGAAATGTGTGCGTTCTTGGAGAACAGGGGGACAACAGTTCGAGGAGACACACCGACCTTTTTTGAGAAGCAGAGAGACAGGGAGAGAAGAAGACAGGCAGGGCTCCCGAGCACTGGCTCCCTCCTCAAACACCAGCAACAGTAGGGGCTGGAAGCTGGGAGCCCAGGCCTCCCACAAGAGTGGCAGGGACCCAGCCACTGGAGCCATTGCTACTGCCTTTAAGAGCCTGCATTGGCAGGACCCTGGACTCAGGAGCCAGAAGCAGGTATTGAACCCAGGCACCCTGACACGGGACATGTGTGTCCTAACCACCAGGCCAAATGTTTGCCCCAATCCTGGCTCTTAAAGCTAGCTTTATAACACACTAGACTCGAAGTTGGGACTGGGGGTGCAGAGGGGAGCAGGAAACTAGAAATACTTGGAAGTAACTCAGTTATATTTTTGACCAACACAAGCTAAGCCTCCCAAAGGTAATCTCATAGTCTTAGCTGGACTGTACCCTAAGGTTGTGTGATCAGTAAGGAGACAGGTAGGCATCAGAGAAAGAACCAGAGAACCAGGGTTACCTCTCAAACTCCTCCCCTGGCCAGCGACCCGAAATCACCGTTGTGGAAGAGCTACGCTCCAAGCCGGAACCAGCTGCTGACTGCGCCCTGTAATGACCCAAACTTAGATATGTCATTATAATAATAAAATATTGTATATGTAAATATTTATTTCATAAATAAAATATACTAAAATCACTCCTACTCGCGTCACGCACCTGACGCTGTGACACTTCCAAAACTTCCTAAACAGGCCAAATGTTGGGCAGTCACCACGTTCCCAGAACTCGCCACCATTTCCTGGAAAACTGCACCCTCCACACCTCCAGATCACATACAGGGATGACCACACGGGCTGCAACACCCCCCCCCCCCCCCCCCCCCCGAGAACTCCCCTGCACTCCCTCTGAACTATGTACTTTTGCTTTTCTAATACATGGTATTCCTCTGCTAACCTTATCTGCATCTTGTCCTCAAATTGTTTCATTCTCAGAGACAAACCCTGGACTCCCTGGTGCACTAACGGCTGGTCTTCCTTCAGCTGCACCAAGAGGTTGGATGGGGAAGCGCTGTGGGAGGGACATCCTGGGAGCCCTTTGTCCTTGACCTTGGCTGGTTCTGGAGTAGGCCACCCGCCTCCCCCAGAAACAAAGTGTCTACAGGCCCCTGTTCAGGGGTTCATGGCTGCCCTGAGGCCAGTTTTCCACACGGTGTGTCTCGTTCATTTGCTTTGTTCATTTCTCTCTAAATCTGCTTCTTTAGCTATCCAAAAAGAGGGGCTTCTCAAAGCAGGGCTCCTGGGCCAGCAGCACCAGCAGCACCAGGGAACAAGTTAGGACTATAAATGCTCTGGTCCCAACCTGACAGCAGCACAGTTTACAGGTGGGGTCCGCCTTCTGCCTGCACAAGCCCTTCCCGCTGCTTCTTCCAGAACCACTGCTCAAGTGAAAGGTGGGCACACCCACAGACTTCAGCAACCTTCAACATTTAATCCTTTTGTTACTTACGGCCTGCTGCGGGCCGCTCGGGTTAAACTCCTCCACAGAAACACATCAGACTCCTTCATCCAACAGCTCGGTGCCCCAGGGTTATGAGGATGTCACTGAGGCAACCATTTCAACACTGGGGCCGAGAAGAGGCAGCACGACAGGGCCAAATTAGAATCTGATCCACTCGGCCGGTCTTCCTCTCCAGGGACGCGCACAGCGTACCCGCGCCCGCCTGTGGCTTCCCCCGCGCTATCAGCGTTGGCCAGACGACCGGAAGCGGCCCCAGCCCTGCACCAGCTGCTTCTTGTCTTTGGAAACTAGAGCACGGAGGGAGAGCTGCCCGGGGCCAGGCCAGCACAGGGAGATGGATACGCGACTTGAGCATTTCTCTACACTGATTCCCCACCCCCACACCCAGGAAAAACAGGACTGGAGCGCCCTGGAAGCCCAGGCACACTGGCTCCTGTTCGTGTCCAACCCCTCCTCCCCACTCATTCCTAACCGCCTCTGGCAGTCTGCGTTTCAGGCCTGCCAAGACATTCCAGGACGGAGCAGCCAGCCATTCCTTCCCGCAGGTGGCCTGGCTGGGGTTGTCAAGCAAGAGGCCAAGGACAGGTATCTGTCACGGAGGCCAAGGGACGCCTGATCCCACAGCTACGGGCTGGGAGCTGTGAAGGCTGGAGACAGCCAACCACGCAGGAGAAGGGTGTGTTATGTAAGCAGGTCACGTGGGCTCATGCTATTGCTCTTCACCTGCTGCTAATTAGCGCACCGCCTGCCGGGAACAGAGTAAGGAACCATCGGCCCCTCTTGTGGGCTCACCTTACTGTCAGCGCATGGACCTAACGATCCTGTCTAGAAGGGTTCAAGCCAACCAAAACCACGTGGTAGGTTAGGTCCTGGAGATACTGGGAGTAAGCCACCAGGCGCCCTGTGCACCAGGAACTCATGGTCTAGGAGAGGGACAGGAACAAGTAAGCAGCTGTGCACACACACATGGTCCCCTTAAGGAAACCACCGCTGGTGTACAAAAATCCTGCAAAGGGCTGACGGTGGATGCTGGCAGACGCATTTCTCCAGGCTGAGAGGGCCGTGTGTGCCACAGCCCGGGAGGGAGGCCAGGATCTCTAATCCTGAAATGGTGAAATCAGGCTAAGATTCCAACAGCAGGAGCAGAGTCAAGAGAGCTGCCTCCTCCCAGCAGGGCCAGCAATGAGGCTCAAAATCCGAGTGTGAGAACCAGAGGGGAGAACAGGTCACACTAGGCCAGCACCAATGCACAAAGAAGGGCAGGGGCCTAGCACAGAGGCTTGCCCTTGAGGGCTGGGGGCACTGGCCCAAGGAGATGGCAGGTGCAGGCAGAGTGGGGCTTTTCTGCTGGAAGACATGTTGCCCAGGAACATTTCAAAGCCACCCTACCTGGCCCTCTGTGTCTGGGCGGGCACTGGCAGTGTGGGAGGGAGAATACAGAAATGGAGATCAGAAATCTTCCTGTGTGTACCCAAGAGGACGGTTTTGATATTTTTAGTTTAGTTTGTTGTTGAAGATTTATTTATTGATTGATTTGAAAGAGCTACAGCGAGCGAGGGAGAGACAGAGAGAGGAGAGAGATCTTCCATGTGCTGGTTCACTCCCCAAATGGCCACAATGCCCATGGCTGGGCCAGGCTGAAACCAGGAGCCACTAGCTTCATCTGAGACTGCCACGTGTGTGCAGGAGCCTAAGCACTTGGGCCATCCTCCACTGCTTTCCCAGGTGCATTAACAGAGAGCTGGATCAGAAGTGGAACAGCTGGGACTTGAACTGGTGTCCCAATGGGATGCCAGTGCTGCAGACTACTGCAGACAGCAGCTTAACCCACTATGCCACAGCACCAGCCTTTTGCTTTGTTTTTTTTTTTTTTTTTACTTTCATTTTTTTGAAAGGCAGACAGACAGAAAAAGATCTTTCATCTGCTAGTTCATTTCCCAAATGCCCACAAGAGCTAAGGCTGGGCCAGACCAATGCCAGGAGCCCAGAACTCAATCCAGGTCTCCTACATGGGTGGCAGGGACCCAGGTATCTGAGCCATCACCTGCTGCCTCCCAGGCTGCACATCAGCAGGAAACCGGAATCGTAAGCAAGGGAACGCAGGATGCAGACCAGACATTCCACAGTGGGATGCAGGCACCCAGGCAGCTACCTAAGCATTGTACCAAACGTCCACACCTGAGAGAAAACTAGGTAAGGGCCCTGGAGGGGCAAAGAGGACCTAAGAGGAGAACAGTTCACAGAGCTGAAAGAACTTGCTGCAGGTACACCGTGCTCGGCATCTCCACCTCTAGCGACATCTTCCCTGGAGTGTTGAGCTCTGTTCTCAGCACCATTGCCCAGGGCCCTGGCACCAGGCCAGGACTTCAATGACCAGGTACAGCCTTGGGCTCAAACAGCTAGTGTCTCTCCAGCAAATACAGCATCACTTCATCTTGTACCCTGTGGGCCCCTCAAACCCCAGGTGTCTAAAACAGAAGCCCTCCCCTACACTCCTCTGCAATGGGCCCCAGCTCGGAGAGTGGTACCTCAGTTCTCCTGCATGCTTGACCCAGAAATCCAGTGCAGCCTCTCTCTCTCACCTCCAATCAAATGATTTCCTAAATCACTCATGAAACTGTTACCTTGCGTTCGTTTGCTTTTGTTGCTGTCACAGATTGCCAGAAATTTAGGGGCTTAAAACAACACAAGGTGGGGCCAGCATTTGGCACAGTGATGTAGACACCACCTGGGGGCTGGTGGTGCTGTGATGCAGCAGGATAAGCCACCACCTGCAGCGCTGGCATCCCATATGGGAATCCGTTCAAGTCCCAGCTGCTCCACTTCCAATCCAGCTCCTTGTTTATACACCTGAGAAGGCAGCAGAAGATGACTCAAGTCCTTGGGCCCCTGCACCTGCATGGGAGACCCAAAGGAAGCCTCTGGCTCCTGACCTCAGACTGGCTCAGCCCTGGCCATTGCAGCCATCTGAGGAGGAAACCAGTGGATGGAAGATTTCTCTCTCTCCCTTCCTCCTCTTTTCTCCCCTCCACCTGTAACTATGTCTTTCAAAAAAAAAAAAAAAGACAACACTTCAACTGCCAACATCCCATATGGGAATGCCTGGTTCAAGTCCTGGCTCCTCTGTCTCCCAGCCAGCTTCCTGCTAATGTATACCCCATGGATCAATACATGATGGCTCAAGTACTTAAGTCCCTGCCATCCACAGGGCAGACCAAGATTGAGTGCTGGGCTCCTGGCTTTGGCCTGGCTGAATCCTAGCTGTTGCAGGCATTTGGGGAGTGAATTATCAGATGAAAGAGCTCTTTGTCTTTGTGTGTTTGTGTGTGTGTGCACATGTGTGTGTGTCTGTCTCTCCGCCTTTCAAATAAAAATAAAAATCTGAAATACCCCGACAAATGTATTATCTTTCAGTGCTAACGGGTGGTAGTCCAGAACCAGGGTGTCACTGGGTCGCGCCACTTCTGGAGGCTCTGGGAGAAATGCATTTCCTTGCCTTCTCCAACTTCCAGAAGCCACCTGTGTTCCTTGGCTTGTGGTTCCTTCCTCAGCCTTGAAATCCAGCAACGGGTCCAACCTTATCTCCGACCCTGCCATTCTCCTTCCACGTTTTAAGGTTGTTGGGATTACCTTAATCCCACTCACAAAAGCTAGGATAATCTCCCATCTCAAGATCATTAAGTCAATCATGGGGAGCCTTTATTCTCTACCGCATACCTCCTCCCATCCCAATGCCACTGCCACCACCGTATCCCATGGGAGGTCACCAGCTTGTTCCCAGGTGTGCAGAGGAACTACAATGTGTTTAATGAGGAAGAAGAAAAGAAGAGAGAGAAGGAAAGGGAGCCTCTTCTCATCAAGCCCTTGAGGGAAAGGATGCCATTCCCAGTCTCTTACCCACTCTCCCTGAGCCCAGTTCCTCCTCCCAGCCATTCCTGGCCTTGCTACTCCTTTTTGCCCTTGCTGCTGGCCACCAAACCTGTGCCCTGGCAATTTCTTCTATCTGAAAAGTTCTCTGCTTCTTTATAGTCTCTCTCTCTCTCTCTCTCTCTCTCTCTCACACACACACACACACACACACATTCCACTCCACTCCATCCTAAGCCCTACACAGAGCACCTGGCTAAGTCCTGGCACTCCAGGTCTTGGTTGAAATGTCAGCTCCCACAAAGCCTTCTTGGGTGTCCAGGTTTGGGTCTCCAATGGTCTCTGGTGGGCACCATAGCAAGCACCCCGCTCTTCGCCCTTACCTCATTTGTAGCTGCCTGTTCAAAGCTGTCTTCTCTATGCTTTAGGCTTCCTTAGAACAAGACACAAATCTGCCATGTTGTCCCCCAAGGGCATTGTATGGCTCAAGAAATATTTTCTGAATAAGATGAAAATGCTTTGTACTGCAAACTCTTTGAGTGTCAAACATGATTGGGCTTGCTTTTGTTCAGCCCTAGACCCTAGATCCTTCCTTCCCTCCCTTCCTCTCTCTTTCTCTTCCACTATTTCCTTATTACCTATTGCTAGCTGGATCGGAGGCTGTGGTGAAGTCAGTGCACACCTTCCTATGGGAAGGAAGGGGAGAATAAACAGTCCGGCGCTTGTCAGCTGTTCCCAGGTCAGGAAGGCAGCTCGGGACAAGGCCCTGGTGAGACGCCTGGCAGAGAAGACATTTCCCAAAGCCAGATCCAGGAGAGAGGTTTCCCCTCTCAGGTCACATAGGGAGGCTGTACCCGGCTGTCTGCAATGTCATCAGTGGCCACAGCCACATTCCTGAGATGCAGTAAGAATTCCAGGGCAGCACACATGGACAGCAGCTGGACATCAATCATTCTAACGCTAAATGAAGAAGATAGGGCCAGAGTGGCAGGGGCCCAGGATCAGTGCACACTGGGGAGGCTCCCATCCCTTTCCCCTCCCCCTGCAAGCCCCTCTCCCCTTCCCAGCGTACTTCCAAATGCCAGGCCTACTCAAGGCAAATATTGAACAGAGTCCCACCAAACTTTTAGCACCTTCACCAGTCGTTGGTGCCAGTGACAAAAGGTTGTTAACAAATCAATCTTTTTTTCTCTGTTTTTAGTAGACAAAGGATTTATAAAATCATAATTTGTCTCCCCCAGGAGTTAACCTGGCCAATATACATTATGTAAAAAGTACTCACCAACCTAGTTCCTCTCTCTTTTAACTTTTTAAACATAAGCTTTACAGGATTTTCATAGCCAAAAGTCAGTCTTTTGTTTCCTTTTCATGTGGAAATTTTTGCTTTGCTTTATTTATTTTCACAACTATAACATAGTGTATGTTTATCTCACAATTTATTCATCCATTTTTCTCTTGGTGGACTTTTATGCTGTTCTGGGTTTTTTCTTCTTTCACACAGTTCTATGATACACGCTTCTGTATATCTTCACGCACACACTGGAGAGAGTCTCTCACGTGGAATTGATGGACATGTACTTCCACATCTTTTCTAGATATGTAAATACTGAATCACTCCCCAGTCATGTTTGTCTTGATGGAAACTCCCATCACCAGCATGCATTGCTCCATCTCTTCCTCGGTGCTTTGGCAAATGTTTTTGGTTTTTACCCATCTTACCAGTATAACATAATATCTCATGTTTGGTTTAATGTACTTTTTCCTGCCTGCTAGTAAGATAGCATACCTTTTCGTGTATTGGTCTTTTAGCTTTCTTCTTCTGTGAATTGCCTGTTCATATCTTTTACCTAGTTTTGTTGAGCTGTGTGTGGTTTTTCACGCATATACTGAATACTCATGCTTTGTGATTAAGAGGCTGTGTTCATGTTCTCCAAGAAACAGACTCTGAAACACAATTAGAGTGCAAGCATTGGGGGGAAATGCTGGTGAAAGATAATGGGGAAGGGAGCAGGAGAGGTGGGGGAGAGCCTTCAGACCCCAGTACTGTGAAAGGAGAGAGAGGGGATGGGGGGTTGGAAAGGAAGAGCTTCTTTCTGCAAAGCAGCTCTGAGAAAGTCTCAGCCAGGCCAACAGGGAGCCCAAAAGAAAGGAAACACCCATGGCACAGGAGTGCTCAGCTCTGGTACTCCTTCATGGTGCTCACCCATCAGGGCTCTCTATTTGGTTGCATGGGTCCAATTTTCCGTCTCTGGGCCAATACCCCACTAGTTTAACTTAGTAAATCTTAGAATCTTATAGGGTGAGTTGCTCATCTTGAGTTATTCAAAATGTCTTAAATATTTTTGGCCTTTTTTTTTTCACAACATTGTTAGAATCATCATGTCTAATACCAGAAAAAAAAAAGAAGAAGAAAAAATCTCTTTGGATTTGGTTGGAATCACATTGAATTTACAGATTAATCTGGAAAGAACTAAAATCTTATGACAGTAGATCTTCATATCATGAACATGTCTTAATGTGTCAAACATTAGCTGAATAAGTAAAGCTTTATCATTTTCTTCAGGAAGATCATGCATACATTTCATTAGATTTATTTCTGGTTCCCTGGTGCTTTTGTTTCTCTTATAGATGTTAGCTTTAAAATTTTCTGTCTTCTATGGTTGGTGCATAAAATGCAATTGACTTGTAGAATAATCTTCTATCTAGTAACTTGAATGTATTCTCCTATGAGGCTAAATTTTACACATTTCTAGGGAATTTTCATATCTCTGTACACAAGGACAATCCACCAGCAAGCTCTTATCCTTGGCTGTCCAAGAAATCAGGGGGGAATGCCAAGGGTGAAATTTCTCTGTTTAAATTGCAGCAGGTGTTCCTAAACCTCTTGCTATCCAATCGACATATACAACAGCAACGCCCCCTTCTGGTGGCTGGCCAGCAAGACAGCGTTCTCCCGGGAGATAGCTGCATCCCTTGTGTAGCTCAAAGATGTGGACTGAGTGGCCCAGCGTGAGGTCAGCTGTACTGTTACAAAACAGAAGCGTCCCCAGGCAAAAGGCTCAGAGCCAGCTGGGTTAGACTCAGGCCGACCTGATTAGAGGATAGCATTTCTTGATTGGCCACATCCTCACTGTCCTTTCACTCCCCCTACTTGAAAAGACCTCAGGGACATAAAAAAGCAGGCCAGAAGGAGGAGGCAGCACTGGATGGAGAAAGGGAGTTAGAGAGAAGCCTGCCCCTGCCCACCGCCTAGTCCTGCGCAGCTCTCAAGCTGTTCCCCAGTGGAACTGTCTGGTCCAATTGCTGGAGGCCTCTCAGGCAGCTTCGAGGGACTTGTGTGGGGCCAGGAAGGTGAGTTCTGTGAACTGCTGGCTTTGGGGTCCTCCCAAGTGATGCTGCAGAAAGAGAGAGAAGGTGACGAGCTAGTGTGCATCTCTGTCTCCACAGAATGGGTCTGAAGGAAGGTGACTTCTCATTACTTCTTTTCTCCTTCTCCGTGGCCTACTTGCTTCTCCGTGGCCCTGATGGCTTGGTGTGAAGGCCTCAGTTATTTCTACAGCCGTCAAAGCTGAGAGCCAACGTGGCATCATGAAAAGCGAATGTGCCTTGAGCCAGGCAGATCTGAGTTCAAATCCCCATGTGAACTCAGGCATCACATAGTCAACTCTTCTGAGTTTCGGTTTATTCCTCTAAGGGAGAAGAAACTCCCTTCCTTAAGGGGTTACTGAGCTGACTTCATTAACATGAAATCATGCACACACACTCCAGAGTGGCTGCTCAGGAAGGCTGTTTCAAGTCCCAGAAAGGATCGTGGGGAAAACACGATGAGACACTTCTCTAGTTAACGGGATAATTAAAGTACTCACCGATGTCACTTCTCCTCCAGTGAAATAAGAAACGTGAGTTCCTGGAAATAAGAGGCAGCCACAAGCTCAGCATTGTGTGCATGTGCAGGAACTCAACTTACTCTTAGACGACAATCCTGAGCGGTGGGTAGAACAGCAATGACGTCAACACTGCAGGTGAATAAACTGAGGTTCCAGGAAGCACCAGGACTTCCTGAAGTCCCTGCAGGGTGCACGTGTGCAGGGCTAAGAAGCTGTGTGTACCCTTGCTGGGAGCCTTTGCTGACCCGGGGCCCGCAGCTCATCACTCTTCCTGACAACCTAGGCCCAGGCCTCGGGACAGCCCATGCAACTTTAGGCTGGTTCCAGGGAAATCCTGATCTCTCCTGTGCAGAGGGTAAAGTATTTATCTCATTTGCCAGGAGCAGGAGGTCATTGGCCCACATGCCCCTTCCTGCCTCTAGAGTTTTCCTACTAACAAGAACTGACTGAAAAGCCATTGTTTTTTGCTTTCTGTAGGAACTGCCATTCTGTGTGATGTCTGATGTTGGAAGTGCAATCAGATAATGGTAAAGAGGAAAGCAAGGTGATTTGGGAAGGAAAGAGGCCAAAAGAAGCATTTTATGGAAATCAGCAAATCATTTTTTAAACACAAAATGATTGTTCTTGTTTTTTATTGTCTTTATTATAATTACCTATGCATTTTTTGGGGGGGATTCTTTAAGATTTGCTTACTTATTTGAAAGTCAGAGTGACAGAGAGAAAGGGAGAGAGAGAAGGATGGAAGGAGGGAGATTGAGACACAGAAAGAGACAGAGAGGGAGAGATCATCCATCCACTGGTTCACTCCCCAAGTACCAGACATGGGCCAGACCAAAGCCGGGAGCCAGGAACTCCCTCCAGGTCTTCCACATGGGTGGCAGGAACCCAAGTCCTTGGGCCATCATCCACCGCCTCCCAGATGCAATAGCAGGAAGCTAGATCAGAAGCAGAATAGCTGAGACTTGAACCAGAACTCCAATATGGGATGTGGCCATCCCAAGCAGCAGCTTAACCCGCTGCATCGCAACACCTGTCCCTGAGTGTGCCTTTGTATTGCTCCCTCCGGTAACCTGTAAGGTTCTAGGGGTGAAAGTGTCTGTGCCTGTGTTTATCTTCCACAGCACTTGAACTGCTGTCTAGCAAATAAACAACTGACCCCAGAAGGAAGGAACTGGCCTTGCACCTCCCCAGAAATATCTTTTCCTCTGGCTGTCAGGTATGTCTGACATTCTTACCATGAGAGTCTTCGTCATTTGGAGGCTGCTCCTTTCAACCAGGCGAATTGGGTCCTACCCACTGTCCCTAGAGTGCAGCAGGATTCCATGGGAAGAAGAAAACCCAGAGGAGAGCTGAAACGTGCGACTTGGTCAGTCCTCGGGGGAAGCCAAATGGGACTATGCCCCTGGGACCCAGAGACTGGCTTCAGCCCTTGTAGGGAGGGAGAAAACTCAGGACCCCTGAGAACTCAAACGTTGCCCACACCATCATTTTTCAGGGCCTGTTTGATTTGGGTCTGGTTCCACACTGCAGCCTGGGCTGCAAGGTGGAGCACCACTAAGTGGTTCCTGTGTGAGTCAGCCAATGACCTCAATCTCGTTCCTTTGGTCTCCATCAAAATTGAGCTGATCCGCTTTAGATGTCTAAAATTTAGCCCAAAATGCTCCTCAGAGCAGGCAATGCCCACCGCCTCATGCGACTAGGATAAGCCAAAGGGGCTACTGGTGTATTTGTTTTACCTACTGTTTTCTTTTTAAGGTGCATTTATTTATTTACTGGAAAGGCAGAGTGAGAAAGAGAGAGGTGGGAATCTTCCATCTGCTGGTTCGTTCCCCAAACGGCCACAACAGCTGGGGCTGGGCCCAGCTGAAACCAGGAGCTGGAAACTCCATCCAGGTCTGCCATGTGGTGGCAGGAACCCAAGTACTTGGACCATCTGCTGCTGCCTTCTCAGGTACTTAACCCGAAGCTGCATCAGAAGGGGAGAAGGCTCAGTCCCAGGCATTCAGATATGGGATGCAAGCATCCCAAATGGCAGCTTAACCCACTGTGCCACAATGCCCACTTCTTGCTGTTTTGATCATTGGTTTACTTAGTCATTCATTTATTAACATATTGATACCCATTTTGTTACAAAGTAGATTTAGGTTTAAGGCCGGCGCCGCAGATCACTAGGCCAATCCTCTGCCTTGCGGCGCTGGCACACCAGGTTCTAGTCCCGGTCGGGGCGCCAGATTCTGTCCCGGTTGCCCCTCTTCCAGGCCAGCTCTCTGCTGTGGCCAGGGAGTGCAGTGGAGGATGGCCCAAGTGCTTGGGCCCCGCACCCCATGGGAGACCAGGAGAAGCACCTGGCTCCTGGCTTCGGATCAGCGCAGTGCGCCGCCCGCGGCGGCCATTGGAGGGTGAACCAACGGCAAAAGAAGACCTTTCTCTCTGTCTCTCTCTCTCTCACTGTCCATTCTGCCTGTCAAAAAAGAAAAAAAAAAAGTAGATTTAGGTTTAAACCAATTTATCCAGAAGATGACAGGTGTTTTTTTTTTCCTTGCATGAGAGGAAAAGAGAGAGAGAGAGAGAGAAAGAGGACATTTACTTCCCTTCTCCAACTACTGATTCACTCCCCAAATGCCCAGAATTGCTGCAGCAAAAGCCAGGAGCCAACACACAATCCAGGTCTCCCATGTGGGTGGCAGGGACGAAATGATTTGAATCAACGCTGCTGCCTCCTAGGGTCTGCATTGGCAGGAAGCTGGAGCCAGGAGCCAGAGTTGGGAATTGAACTCAAGAGCTCCAGTGTGAAACACAAGTGTCTTAATAGGTCTCAGTCAGGGCTAGACAGCTACTCGACAGAAGACGCATTTTTAATTTAACCCATTTCTACTATCAATGTTATTCAATAATTTTAAAAATTTCTAAATACCTAATATAAATATTCTAATATAAACAGTGGGATATCATTAGTGAAAACACAAAGATGCCCCTACCTCATGTACCTTATATAAGCAGTGGGTGAGCCAAGAGATAATTACAACATAATTGACTGTCAGTTGCCTTATAATTGATCATGGCTAACACTCTACTATCAACCATTCCCCAAACACTGCAAATTGAGTTGTCCCAGCTGTTTGTATTTTGTGTATTCTAATGATAGCCCACTGATTGCTATACCCCTCTCCAACAACCAAGAATTGCCCCGAGGTTGAGGCTGGTGCTGTAGTGGCCCTCCAGGCACCACCCCAGTCTTTGTTACCCTTGGGACAGAGCTCTCACCTTATAAATGAAAATACTTAAACACACACACACACATACACACACACACACACACAGGAGAAGGAGTATCAAGGTAGAGTTGAAACCCTGCAATCTTCCAGCTACAAGTGAAGTTGGAGCCCCTCCCAGCCAATCTCTGCGTCTCACAGATGAGCAAGGGGAGGCTGTAGCCCTGTAGAGGAGTGGCAACCCACCCCCGGAAACACATCCTCCACCTCCACTCAGACTGAGCCTGGCGGCCGGCATCTGGACCCTGAGCTTTCGACTTCTTCTGAATGTGTCTAAATTTGTCCTCTCCTCTTCTCAAGATGTCCATCTGGAGATCAATCCAGAGAAAGGTAATTGGCTGCACTGTGGTTGGTCACAGAGTTAGTGCCCGCGTTGTAAGTGGCATCGTGGGACCCACGCTTCCCAACACCCGGTTTCACAGTAAATAACACTTACTTTATCCCGCAGCACAGAGCTCTGTGCTAGTTAAGGAAGCCGATGACTTAGGAGGAAGCCCTGGCACGTCAGCTGTTACTGTTAGTGCTGCTTAGCTCCAAGTGAAGAAAGCTCTCCGGTCCGGGCTGAGGGCCAGTCTACTCTTCAGTACAACAGCATGACCTACCCCAGCGGGTTTTGAGATGTGGCTGCTTGGTTGGCAATATCAGCATCACCAGGGGCTGATTCCCAACTTCAACCCACGCCAACTGGACTGGAAACTCTGGGAATGGAGCCTACAGCCTTTGCTTGAAGGAGGCTTTCAGCAGGGGTGGGTGGGTTTCTTTTGTTGTTGTTGTTTTGTTTTCATTTATTTGAAAGGGAGAGAGAAGGACTATTCTCATTCACTGATTCACTTTCCAAATGCCTACAACAGTCAGGACTGGGCCAGGCTCAAGCCAGAAGCCTGGAACTCAGTTTAGGTCTCCTGTGTTGGTGTCAGAGACCCAACTACTTGAGCACTCCTTCTTCTCCTTCTCCTCCCCCTCCCCCTCCCCCTTCTCCTTCTTTTTGACAGGCAGAGTTAGACAGTGAGAGACAGTGAGCAAGATCTTCCTTCCGCTGGTTCACACAGCAAATGGCTGCTATGGCCAGCGTGCTGCATTGATCCAAAGCCAGGAGCCAGGCGCTTCCTCCTGGTCTCCCATGTGGGTGCAGGGCCCAAGCACTTGGGCCATCCTCCACTACCTTCCCGGGCCACAGCAGAGAGCTGGACTGGAAGAGGAGCAGCCGGAAGGCATCACTTCTTCCTCCCAAGAAAAACATTAGCAAAAAGCTGGAACTAGGAGCAGAGCCAGAATTCAGACCCAGGTACTCTGACATGGGATATGGATGTCTGAAGCCATGTCTTAACCACTGGGCCAAATGCCGGCTCCCCTTTGGGCTGATTCTGGTACTTGCTCAAGTTTGAATGCATCTGCTCTGGAGCAATGCTTTGAAAATTTCAGTCCTGGGGCCCCCAGCCTCAGGGTGTCCAGCAGGAGCTTCTAAAATAGGTGAGTTGAAAAAAAATTCAGAAAACCAGCTATTTACCCCTTCAAGTCCAGTATTTCCCAAACAAACCTCATCTGAAGCATTACTGGGGACCTCTTAGAAAGACCAATGTCACAGCCCTTCTTCCTGGGCATTCAGAATAAGAGCAGAAGAGAAGAGTTGAAAAGGCCAGGCTCAGGGTCTATGCATGTCCCTCCCTCCTTGGGGACAGGGCCACTCATCAGAATTCACTTGGGAACTGTGGCTCTGGGGCTCCCTAAACCACTGGTTTACTTATGACATCCACCTCAGTCCAACAGCGTCAGTATCGAAGAGGATCCCATTTGCTGGCTACTCAGTGCATAAATATTATTCAAAACCTATTGCTTTTTTATTATTTATTTTTTTAAAAGGTCTTCCTTCCGTTGGTTCACCCCCAAAATGGCCACTACAGCCGGAGCTATGCCAAGCCAAAGCCAGGAGCCAGGTGCTTCCTTCTGGTCTGCCAAGTGGGTGTAGGCGCCCAAGCACTTGGGCCATCCTCCACTGCATTCCCAGGCCACAGCAGAGAGTTGGACTGGAAGAGGAGCAACCAGGACTAGAACCCGGCACCCATATGGGATGCCGGTGCTGCAGGCGGAGGATTAACCAAGTGAGCCATAGTGCCAGCCCCAAAACCTATTGCTTTTTAAGGCTGAGAGCGCACAAAATGTTTCTGTGATTTCTGAGCGTCAATTACAGATGAGCCAGGCAAAAAGCAACCCATGGAAATCTCTGGGAACAGAGAGGTCCATTAAGATGGAGAAAAGATTGCCAAGAAACCAGGGAAGAGGCTAGAGAAGGAAGAGGAGAGAAGGACACGAAGGGAGAAGAGGGACCAGAGAAGCTGAGATTTCTTGGGAAACCGTGAACGACTCTGAGCCATTGGAGCCCCAGAAAGGAGCCTGGCTTGGTGGTTAGACACATGGACCCTTGAGACTGCCCGGTTTAAGTGCCATTTCTGTCCCTTCCTGGCAGGTGGCTGACATGACCTTTCCAAGCCTCACTCTCCCTACAATCTACAGATGACAGGCCCTCCTGGCAGCACTGTCGTGAGGAAGTGGGCATACCCCAGGCTTCCCCAGCTGGCGCGGCCCAGAGGGCAAGAAGCGCTCAGTGAAACTGCTATGATGCTAAGCACTCTCTTCTTGGCAGAATCTTGCCCAGGTTTTCTCTCATTTCTCACCTCTCAGTGCCCTAGTAGACCTTCCTGTGAGGATGAGTGCTGTTTCTGATCTACTTTAAAATCAGACCACATATCCATAAGAGACGTTCCCACGCGTCTTCTCAGCCCGCAAATGAATGAGAGGTAGATGAGGCTATGAGCCTGTTCCTGAGATGGCAGGGCCCAGGTCTCATGGGCACCATGGGTGACCATGCTTCCAGATTCGGCAAGACTTAATCCCAGGTGCACCTTCCGCTTGCAGCAAGGCCAAACAAGTGCCTCCCAAGGCTTCCCCTTGCTCTCCCTAAGGCTGGGTGCCTCCTCCGCACCTCAACTCACTACTCCAGGCAAAACAAGACACGTTGATTATAAAAGAGACAAGATTGCCTAGAATTTTATTTTCTCTTGGAGAAAAGAGGTAGGCCAGCACTCAGAGCTGGACCAAGCAATGGACTATTAAGAGTGATTCTCGAACTTGAGTATGCCTCACAACTGCCGAGGGCTTAGAGTAAGCTAGAGTAGCACACAGTACGAGCCCCACTCCAGAGTTGCTGCTGCAACAGGTCTGAGGCTTGAATTGGCCTTTCCACCAAGTCCCCGTGTTGCTGGTTCCAGGCCCAGGCTTTGAAGCCCTCTACTCTATACTTTTGAGAAAGAAACTATGGCTTGGAGCGGGTGTGTAGTGTAGCGCTTGGGACACCCACATTCACACCAGAGGGCCTGGGTCCAATGCTCAGCTCCGATTCCCGACTCCAGCTTCCTGTCAGCACACACACTGGGAGACGGTGGTGATGGCTCAAATAATTGCGTTCCTGCCACCCACATGGGAGACCCGGATTAAGTTCCCAGCTCCCAGCTGTGCTGCCAGCTCTGGCCGTTCAGGGAGTGAACCAGCAGATGTGAGCGAGCTCTCCCTGTCTCTCTGTATCTCCCCCCTCATCTTCTAAAATAAATAAAAGCAATTAATAAACTATGACTTATCAGAAGTTGTACATCACAGAAACATTAGATTGAAAGATACTCTTCACGACTAATTGCAATGGGAGGTAAAAGGAACCTTCATATGTCACTACATAGGTATCATCATATCATCTTGGTTATGTCATTCTTGATTATAGTATTGGTCCCAACCACTGACCTCAGTTTATTGTTCTTAAGCGTGATGATCATCTCCTAATTTTTGTTTTTTATTTATTCAGTGATATCCAGTGTAATATGAGAGCACTTGGAAAACCCAATGGCCCAAAACAATCTCCCCTTTTATGAGCCATTTCCAACATCAAAATAAAAAAGTCAGGGACCGGGATTGTGGAGCAGTGGGTTAAAGCATCACCTGCAACCCATGTGAGTGTCAGTTCATGTCCCGGCTGCTCCACTTTCAATCCTGCTCCCTGCTAATGTGCCTGAGAAAGGAGCAGCATATGGCTGCATGGGTCCCTGCCGTCCACAAGAGAGACCCACTTAAAGCCCTTGATTCCTGGCTTCATCCTGGCCCAGCTCTGGCCATCAGAGCCATTTGAATAGTGAACCAGTAGATGGAAGAACTCTTTCTCTGTCTCTCCCTCTCTCTGTGTAACTCTGCCTTTCAAATCAGTAAAATAAATATTTAAAAAAGAATCACAAAGTCAGAGATGGTATGTCTAGATCTCTTTGGAAACCCAACAGAAAACCTGGAGTACCTTCTGGTCTCTTTTCATTTGGCTTGAAAACATTAGTAAATTAGTTTGCTATCACTTGGCTGCTGAGATAGTGAGACACAAAGAACTATAGGTAGGACCTTGGCTAAAATCTTCCCCAGCAATAAATGAGATAAGGAAGCATCCTGAAGATTTGGACCTGAGGATGGCTGCCCAAGGACAAAACAGGGAGAGAAATCTGAAAAGGTTGTGGGAAGTCCCAGTGCCTGCTTTGGTGTGCTGCCATCTTGGTTATCAAATGGATTACAAGATGCAAAAGAGAGCATTAAAGGTGAGAACAAAACAGTTCCTGACGGTTCCAAAGGGAAATCAGCAGAGACACTGATGACTTGGCTCCTGACCAGCCACGGGTGCCCTGCTTACCTCACAGTGCCGCGGCTCTCCCTTATGCACTGGCCCAGTTCCCGTGCTGAGCCCAGGAAGGCGTGGTTTCCGGGTAGGTCACTCCGCAAGGAGGCTGGGTCACTTATTTCGGGGAGGACGTGGTGCAGGTCCATGGAGGAAGGAGACAGCTCAGCCTCGGACAGAAAGACATCCTCTGCACGTGAGATGGCGCCTGCCGACTCCCCTGGGGACTGGTGGCAGGGGAGCGAGGCCCAGATCGCAGTGGCCTCTGCCCGTCCTCTGCAGGCAACGCAGCCTCCTTGGGCCTAAAAGCCAGTTCTTGATAGAGGAGCCTCACCTGGGAACAGGTGTGTTTTCATTGTGCGGACTCAAAGGAGGCCTCTAGGTGGACTTAGTACCTCAATGGACAGCGAGGCCAACAAGGGGCCTAATTATGGTCTTCAAAAGCAGAATGGACAAGGTTAGGGGGCCTAAATCCCACACAGCTGATGGCTACACCTATAGAGGCTTGGGGGCCTCGGTCTACTTCACCACCGGGAGGAATGAGGCTGTGGCGGCCACAGGAAGGCTGGCAGGTCAGACACGCCCCCTTTCCCGTGATGCCCTCCGGACCCGTATAAAAGCCACCGTGAGAACCCGGAAGCGGAGGGTGTGCCCCCGGAACAGCTGCTCAGCAGGCTCCCTTCCCAGCCGGCAGTTTGCCCTGCGCGGGCCCTGCGAGGCAGGGAGCGCAGGACAGCGGCAACTGAAGATGGCGTCACCGCCAAGCGGGAGCCCGCAGCTTGGCTCGGCGCAGTGCCAGATGCCCTGCGGCCTGCCTTGCCTATCCAGTGCTGCAGACACCCTCAGAGCCTCCCAGTGGCCTCTGGTCACAACACTGTCCTTGCTTGCATGCGCCTGTTTTCTCCCTGTTGGTCCAAATCCGGTTTGTCTTTTAAGAATTAACTGGAAGTCACCTCCTCCCTGAAGCCTCCCAGCTTGCCCAGGCTGGAGAGATCTGGACCTGCTGTGAATCCTTTGTCTTCCCTCTCTGCTCCACTCATTAGGCTCTTTCCATGACCTCTACTCCCTTCAAGGTGAGTTGACTTTTAACTTAAAAAAAATTTTTTTTGAGAGGTAGGCAGAGAACAACCTCCCAACCACTGGTTCACTCTCCAAATGCCCACAATGGCCAGGTCTGGGCTGGACCGAAGCTAGAAAAGCCAGTAACTTAATCCAAGTCTCCCACATAGGTGACAGGGACCTGATGACTTGAGCCATCACTGTTTTCTTCCAGGGTCTGCATTAACAGAAGGCTGAAGTCAGGAGTCGAATCCAGGTGCTCTGATGTGGGACACGGCGGGTCTTCACGGGCATCATAACTCAGGAAAAGAGGCGCAGAATAGAGAAGAAACAGTGTGCAAATCTACAGCCAGGCCGAATTGATTCAGAGAAAATACATTTGCGGAAGTGGTGACCACCTGCCCGCGTGCATGTGATGGAACACGTGGCAGAAGGCCCGACCCCCAGGGGCTGGGCCTTTTTATATTTTAGGACTAGGGGTGGGGGTGGGGGTAGGGGGTAGCAGGTGGAGGTGAATTCCTGGAACTGGGCCGGGCCTTGGAAACCTGGAAAAGAATTTGGGGTATGAAGGCAATAGGGTGTGAATCCTAGTTGAGACTCAAGGGCAAGGAATCATTCCATTGTTTATCTTTTGGACAATGAGCGAGAATGGCTGAGGCTTATGTCCTTGTTCCATCAGTAACCACTAAGCCAAATGTCAGCTCACAGACTTGACTTTTTAGCTGTGTCTGTCCGATGCTTGTGCGGTTTTTATTATTATTTCCTCCAGCACACAGCACACATCCATGAGCACAGCCAACAGGTGCGTGCTTCTTTGACTACCTATGTATGCATTACAGACACACTCCTTTATAAACATGCTTTAGTGGGCCTGCGTTACCTCCTCTCAGAAACAAATGGCCAGCCCTGACAGAGCATAACTACTCACATAGGTGGGGAAAACAGAAAATCCAAGGCATTCATTATCCCATCCGCAGTTAGCCAATGTTGAAGTTTTAGGATATATCCCCAAATTTTTATGTACATAGATTTTTTTTTAAATTTTTTGACAGGCAGAGTGGACAGTGAGAGAGAGAGAAAGGTCTTCCTTTACCGTTGGTTCACCCTCCAATGGCCACTGCGGCCGGTGCACCGCGCTGATCTGAAGCCAAGGAGCCAGGTGCTTCTCCTGGTCTCCCATGTGGGTACAGGGCCCAAGCACTTGGGCCATCCTCCACTGCACTCCCAGGCCACAGCAGAGAGTTGGCCTGGAAGAGGGGCAACTGGGACAGAATCCAGCGCCCCGACTGGGACTAGAACCCGGTGTGCCGGCATCGCAGATGGAGGATTAGCCTAGTGAGCCGCGGCGCCGGCTGTACATAGATTTTTACAACAACTTTATTGAGATATAGTACGATTGGGTAGCCATATGGAAAAGAAAAAAAATTGGATCAGTTCCTCATACTGAACACCAGGATAATTCCAAATGGATCAAAGATCTAAATGTAAAAAATGAAACCATATAAATAGCATAGAAAAATGAGTGAAATACATTATAACCAAGGAGAGACAAAATCTTTCCTAATTATAGCTCATAAACTCCATAACTCATCAAAGATGAACACATTTGGCTCCACTACAATACGAAAGCATCCTAAGTAAAATCAAAAGGCAAGCCAGTCACTGGGAAGCGTGGAGCAGGAGGCGGGATGGTCTGCAACTCAAAGGACAAGTGTCGGACAGCTGAAGTCTGTGCCCGTGGAGATTCTCTTTGATAGCAGAGTTCTTCCGGGGACGAGTGGAGTTTATGGTTTTGTGTTAGAAAACTCTGCTTCAGCAAGATGTGAAGAGGGGAAGAGGCTCTGGAAACTCATCTGACTCCAGATATGATGATGACGGGTGAGGGCCGCCAGGAAACTTTCCCTGAAGAACTGACTAAATCAGCCACCTACATGGCCCTCTTCCTCCTGCTGTGGCAGGGGGATGAAGCAGGTGAATGTCTGTTCTAGAGGCAGACAGCTGGGTATGCACATTCGCAGCAGAGGAAAACAGCAAGAGGCAGAGGGTCGCCATGCTGGACAAGTATGTGAGTATGTGCATCTGGGAGAGGGCTGCATGCGCCCTCATGGACAAATGAGGTCGGCTGGGAATGCCCTCTGCAGGCCTCTGGCCTGACATGCAGTTCTATAAATGCATGCTTGTCTTATCTTTTTATATAGTTTTAAACAATCAACATAGTTTCCATGAATAAATATTTTTAGGTTGCAAAAAAAATGAAAAAGCAAATTAAAAAGCTAGGAAAAATAATTGTAAATTGTGTCATAGGCAAAGGGCTGATATCTTCAATAGTTAAAGAAGTTAAAGAATGCCTCAGAGTGCCTGGGTGTGAGTCCTGGCTCTATTCCCAATTCCAGCTTCCTGCTGAAACACACACTTGAAGGTGGCAGGTGATGGCTCAAGTTGTTGGGTTCTTGTTACTCTGTGGGAGACCTGGATTGGGTTGTCGGCTCCCGGCTCCGGTTTCAGCCCAAGCTCAGCCCTGGCCATTGTGAGCATCTGGGGAGTGAGCTGAGAGATGACAGCTAGCTCGCTCGCTCTCCCTCCTTCTCCCCCTTTCAAATAAATGAAGTTGATACAAAAAATTTGTTTAAAGAAAGGGGTACCTTCAGCTGCACAAATAAGAAATACAAAGTCAGAAGAGTAAGTATAGTGAGCAACCTTGTTCTGTCGGAAAGAGAAGAGAAATATGAGTATACGTGCATAGAAACAAGAGGGTGAAACAAAAACTAACAAACGAAATTATCTCCAAGGTGAGGAAGAGGATGACCATTGAATGGGGAAGGGTATGGACAAGGAAGCCAGCAGTTCTGTGCTTTTTTATACTTGTTACTTTCAGCCATGTAAATGTTAGGGTACTGAAAAACAGAGCCATATGTAGAAAAGGCAATCCCCTTTGGTCAAAAACAAACTGAGACAACTGACGCTAACAGTACATCAAGTTGATTTCGTCGGCTTAAAGAAGAATTATTTCAAGCAACTTTCAAATACAGTCTTTTGACTGAACATTCCCCAGAGAGAGAGGGCCCGGGGACAGAGAGAACTAGAGAGAAATCTTAAACCATATTTGTCAATTCTCATAGTTATCCTATAGGACAAATGACCCAGTTTCTTCAACAAATAAAATGCACAAAATCTACGTGGAAAATCACCTTTCATGGCTTCAAACTTAAGAGACCTACGACCAAATTACAGCTGTGGAAGAGTCTTGTGAAATAATCAGAACACTGAACTCCAGTATAGAGGAAATTAAGGAATTATTATTAACTTGTGGATGATTTTAGAGTTATATAGCTTGAATAATTAGTATCATGGTTATGATTTGTTGTTACATCTTATTGAATATTGTGGCTGTATTTTCTCTTATTTTAATTCTTCTTCAGTTACAGTGGGGTTTTTCCCCCTAGGTGCATATATTTATGTATTTTATATTTTATTTTCAGGTTTGTTTTTTTTTTAAGGGGGATTCCTAGGCATCTGGCAACAGAAGTTGAATCATGACGAATAGCCTCCACCAGGCACCTCTAGGGCTCCGGGCCACTAAGTTCTACAGGGATCACCCAAGTCAACAGTGAAGCTTTCAGAAGGTACCAGAGAGGAACTGGAGCCTTAGGGGAATGAGCTTTAAGCCAGTGCTCTGTTTGATCCAGTGGCTTGAACTGGAACAATCTTCTTGTCCATGTTAAATCAGGCCATGGGGGCAAAGAGGGCACAGGCTGTGGAGCCCGGCCTCCAGTTGGAATTCCAGCTCTCCCACTTGCTTTTTATTATCATCATTATTATTAAGATTTATCTTATTTATTTGAAAGGCAGAGTTACAGAGAGGGAGGGAAAGGCAGAGAGAGACAAAGGAGTCTTCCATCCACTGGTTCACTCCACAAATGGCCCAAATGGCGCCAGTGGACCTGGGCTGGGCCAGGCTAAAGCCAGGAGCCAGGAGCTTCTTCCAGGTCTCCCACATGGGTGCAGGGACCCAAGCACTTGGGCCATCTTCCACTGCTTTCCCAGGCACACTGGCGCGAAGCTGGATTGAAAATGGAGCAGCTGGGATGCTGGTGTCACAGGCAGCGGCTTTACCTGCGATGTCACAACACCAGCCACTTTCTACTCAGTGGCCTTGGGCCAGGATGGTGTGAGGAACAATTACGTTAAAGACACGAAGTGCATCCAGTAGTGCCTGGCACAGTGGAAACACTGTGTCACTAAAGACAGTAAGTCTGACTTTTAGCATTTACTCTTTAGAATCAATGTGTCAGGCACGTGTATGGCTTCTTTTAGTTGTGCAAGAGAATAAAGTTCATTCGGATCCTCCAGTAGACCTCCCAGAACTACTTCTGCACCTTTAAGGAGTGAACAAGTCAGTGAGAAAATCACACAATGGATGGTTACGTCCCTGCCCCTTCGGCAGTGAAGCGCCCTCTTCTGGAGAAGTCTGGAAGGTGATTCCCAACGTCAGGCACAGAGAAGCACAAGGCTGCCCTGAAGGCAGACCACACCAGGAGTCCAGTGACCTTCAGACGCCTCCTCCAGGAAGGCTTCCTTCCTCCCTTGGCCCAGGTGGGAAGCCCTTCTGTGTCTTCTTTCTTTCTGCTGGTAGCCATCACCTGAGGGCACACCCCTCATCCTAAACTGGAGTTTCTGAGGTTTTTCTCTGCCCTGCAGGAAGGCACTCACTGAGGGTGAGGCTTTGTCACCCCCAGCCCAGCGTGTCACCCAGCGGTGTCTGAGAACGAACCTGGGTCACCCAATGTTAGACCCATGTATGAGAGCCCCACGTGAGGGACCTGGTGGTCTGAGCAGAAAGGAACAGGTGGGGGAGGGGGAGAGAGGGGTGAAGGGCACCACAGCCAGCCACCCAGCCTGCACTTCCACTTGGGGTCTGCCCGGCCCTCCAAACTGAAATCTCACCTCAGCAGAAGCAGCCTGCCTCAGAGTGGGCACCTGGTGCGTGGGTGCAACACCACGTCCCGTGGGAGTTCCTGGGTTCAAGTTCCAGATCGACTTCCGATTCCAGCTTCCTGTTAATGCACACCCTGGGAGGCAGCAGCGCTGGTTCAAGCTCAAGTCCGAGCAGGATGGAGTTCCCAGCTCCTGGCATCAGCCCGGCCCAATCACAGCTGCTATGGGCTCTGGGGGCGTGAACCAGCACTTGGGAGTTCTGTAAAATCGTCATAGAAACAGTGGAGAGAATCCTTAAAAGAATGAAAAAGGGAATCCCATCCGACGTAGCAGTCGCACCTGTGGGTACCAGCCGAGGAGCTCTGCTCACCCGTGTGCATAGCAGCCAAGCGGGGAGGCAGCCCGGAGCCCAGCACCAGAGGAGCGGGTTAACAAGCTGTGGCGGACCCGTGGAAGGGGACGCCCGTCAGCCTTAAGAAGGAAATTCTCTGTAAGGAGCTGCTACGTACAACGTGGCTGAACCTCGAGGA